TAGATTTTTTTTGTTAATTAGCGAAAAAATTAGCGGAAGTGGTGACAGAATAAAATGATAACATTTCTGTGGCGAAATTTTTGCAGTTCAACATATTTTGGCTGTGTTAGCGACTGTTTTTTTAACTCTTTGCATGTAAGAAAAACATTTAAACTAATGACAATTATACTCATCTGTTGGAAAAATGATTTGGGTGAGCAAAGTGTATTTCAATGATGTATATTCAAAATAAAAAACTAAGTAACTTTTTAAATATTTTTTATAGTCATTTTTGCTAAAACAAAATGACGAAGAATACTAATCTGAAATTTGCATTTTTTGTATAAATATTTGAATTATTCTGTTACTTATATTTGTTTTATAAAAATTGGTTATTTCGTTATATGATTTATGATTGTCTTGTTACAGTAAAATATCTGTAAATTTTGTTAATAATATGGTATAAATGATTGTTATAATTTTAAATTATATAAATTTTTACGACTAAAAGTTAATATGAGATGAAAAAGTACAGAAAAATACACGTCAAATTTTTGTAGATATAATTTAAAAATAATCTATATTTGAATTATTTTGGTAATTAATTTCTATGCAAAATAGTTATTTTAAAATATAATTTACAATCATTTCGCTAATCGAACATTCTATGAGTGATCGATCCGCCATATTTTATTATGATCATTAAAACCGTAAATTTTTTATTGTAGATAACTTCACGACAAAAAATTATTGTTATATTAAAATATCTAAAAAACACGTGAATTAAAATATTTTCATATATGGAATAGTTATTCTATTATTATATTTATATACAAAAATAGTTATTTTACTATACGATCTACAATCATTTCATTAACTAAAAAAAATTTTATATATATAAATGATCGATCTGCTACAATTTATTATTATGATCGAGAATATAATCGTTTAGTTATAAATAACATTACGACAAAAAATTAATATTACATTAAAAATATATAGAATAACACACGTCATTTTCATAAAATTTGTTAATTTATTAACCAAACACTTTTAAAATTTATGAATGATCGGATCTCTCATGATTTATTACGTCACGACAAAAAAATCAATATATATTAAAAATACACGTTAAGTGTTTGTCGGTTTGTAAAATAAATCGAAAATAATTTTAATATATCAATTGAAAGCATGATAGTATAAAGAAACTTAACTTTTTCCACAAATTATATTTTCTTATAGATATTTGGATTTTTTTCAACTTATTTGGACAAATTTTTGTATAAAATATCTATTTTACTACATAATCCGTGATACTTTTAAGTATAAATACTTTCACGACATCAATTTTTATTAAATTTGTCAATAAAAAAACCAAAACTATCATTTTATATCTTTTGTCCATTGAAAATTTCAAATAAAAAAAAGCTTAATTTTTATGGATTATATTTTTCATAATTCTTTTGGAAGTATTATTTTAATTAATTTGGTTTCGTATTAAAACAAACTTTTTCCATATTTTTCTGACTATAATCTTTGAATAGAAACAAATCTTTATTTTCCCTTGAAAATGTTATTACCTTTCAAAAACCTCAATATTTTTTTATTTAGCAGAAAAAACCCTCAATATTTTCCTTTCATACTCACCTAAACGTCACTTTCATTTGGATGTACATATATGATAATGTTAATTGTTGACCAAAAAAAAATACTCCATAGGCTTGTAACATATATAATATATAATAATGTTAATTAATCAAATTCCGAAGGCTTGTAACGGCTGTTCGAAAATTTGTTGTTTTCTGGAGAGTAATTGTCTGTTTTGTTAGATAATGGTTCTTTTGCGAACGTTATATAATGGTTATTTATGTTTTACGTATAATATAATTTTTTTTTTCCTCTCTCACTCTCAAAGTCCCAGTTATGTCGACATATATAATTATTAAGGTGTCAGAATGTACCAGAAATATTGAAATTACAGTTGGTTTAAATACAAATAAAAAGAATCCCTACAGAGCAATTATAATTCTTTGTCCTTTTTCTTCCTGTGGTCTACTTTTGCTTTTTACACTTATGTCATACCTTATAATTATTATTTTGCTTTCTTTAATTAACCTGTCACCTTATAAATATCATTACATAACAATGTTAATTGACCAAAAAGAAAGACTTTTTCTAGGCAACTCAAAATCATTCTCACATTACCATTTTTTTTTCATCTTAGATATTATATTGATCACCGGTTAAAATATAAAAGTAAAATACATGATTAAAATACAAGGATAGAATGCAATGATGGAATACGAGAATGGGATTCGAGAGAGGAACCATACCGAAAACCTCCAGTCCAAAAGACGAAACTTAAAAACCAAAAGACCAAACTATAGCTAAAAAAACATGCTAGCACCAAAATTAAAAATCCAAACAAAACACTTCCAACTCTGACTAAACAACATGCCAACCATTCATTGAACCACCAAATCTTAGAACCAATGCTTCGATTTCACGGCATAGATAAAGGGGACGATACAGTTGCAACCGCACTCGAGAAGACTTCACCAATCTCAAATCCAAAGCTAGACCAAATAATTTTATTCTTCTTCCTTTGTTAAAAACTCCGGTATTTTTGTTAGTTAGATATTGTTTTTCTAACTTTTTGTAATGATTATTTTATTTTTCATAATAACCACAATGTCTTAATATATTAAAAGTTTCTATATTAAGAATCTCAAAAGAATAAAAGATCATAATAAAAAAAAGAATATATTCAACACATTCCAGCTACAATTTTTTGTTTTGCCTTATCGGATTTTTTCTACATATAATCTACATATATATATAC